TTATTTAAACTCGCCTTGATTCAAGAGAGTAATCCCCAAAGAAAATATCTTCCTGGCTTTGCCTTGCCCCTTTTAATTCACTACCACATATCTATGTTGCCATGAACATTTTTGTGTACTAACCTGTGTCCTTTCCTTTCATTATGTCCTTAAGCTAGATTCATAGAAGGGGAAGTATTGCCCAAAACAATGACCTTTCCAAGGAATTATTCTAGAAAAGTTGCACCAATATATATTCTCACCAAATATTTGAAAAAACTCTTGATATCCCTGAGTATGAGAGCATTAAAAAATCCAGTCCCATTAATGCTGCTCTTATATAGGGAAAATGACCTTTATACTTTGCATGTAATCTTTCATTTCCAGTTTTCGCTATTGTTTTTTTTACAGTCTTGGGTGTTTTTTAATTAGGAATTGAGAGTGAAGACAGCAGTCTTAATAAATGAGCCTATTGCTGTGTTAACTGAGAAATCCCTGTAGTATGTTTTTAAATTTTGCCTGTAATATATTATAATGATTTTTAATACATTTTGAATCAGAAGTAATATACAGATGAAGGACACAGGGAACAAGCTTTTATTTTTTTCTTCTCTGCTTTGATTTTTTTTTTTTTTGGAGACAGGGTCTCACTCTTTCGCCCCAGCTAGAGTGCAGGGGCATCATCATAGCTCACTGCAACCTCAAACTACTGGGCTCAACCGATCCTTCTGCCTCAGCATCCTGAGCAGCTAGGTCTACAGGCGCTCACCACCACACCCACTTAATTTTTTCTATTTTTAGTAGAGTTGGAGTCTTGCTCTTGCTCAGGCTGGTCTGAAACTGTTGACCTCAAGTGATCCTCCTTGGTCTCCCAGAGTGTTAGGATTACAGGCATGAGCCACCACGCCCAGTCTCTGCTTTAATTTTTTTTCTTTTTCTTCTGCCCGTTTTCTTTATTTCTTATCATGAATTAGGCCTTATAGGGACCCCTAATTGTTCACTCTTTTTTGTGATGGTCATGGCTTATGAGCACCAACTTCAGAGGTAGGTTTTGTGTCTGAACCTAAGTATAACATGTAACATAGCCATTTTTAAGGAGATACATCCTTTTCAGATAAAGCTGGTCAAATATCATTTTATGTAGGTGGAATCTACTAAAAACAAGAAACAAAGGTATTGTATGGAGAAGAATTGTATATATAATAAAAGTTCAAACCAAAACTTGATTTTATGTCTATGAACCTTTGGCTGATATAGTCCCCTACTTACCTATCATGAGACTATAAAAAAGAGTGCTGCATTGGGGGCAAATAAAGCTACATTCAAATTCTGACTTTCTCCTATTGTGTAACCTTGAACAAATTACTGATTTTCAATATCATCTGTAAAATAGGCACAGTTATCTACTGTGTAGATTTATTGAGATGATTGAATACAATTAAAGTTAAAAATGCTTGGCAAATATTTAGTACTAATAAATGTTAGTTTTTTCTTTCCTCTCTTCATTCCTTTTCTCCTTACATGTGTCACTTAAGACCTATTCCATAGACCTGGGGTATTAAGAGTATTAGATTGAAATATAATTGTAACTAAACAGTGTTAAAATATATTTACATTTTTTTCAGTTAAAACCTTTTCAGAAAACTACTGAGCCATCCATGTTTGTGAATACTACACCACCTCCAGAAAGAACAGATCCTGTGACGTAAGTATTTTAAGTCTCTTTAATATGGTCAGATCATGTGGCATTTTAAAAAATTTAATCCACTCGATGGAGCATTTTGGTTATTTTAAGAAGCCCCCAGGATATAGCCAGGATGGGGTAGACTCCAAGGTAAAAAGAATAGTGAATTGCTTTGCTTAGTAAGGTAGGAGAAATTTTGAACTTCTGGGTATACCCTTTCAGAAAGAGGGGATGAGGAGGTCTGGAGATAGGAAAAAGAAGAGAGGGAATGCCAAATTCATGGGTGAAAGAGGGAGGGGAAGGGTAACCTAATGAGGAAAGTTGGCTAGGGAGATATTTCTTTTGGGAAAAAAGGTAAAGGACTTTTTTTTTTTT